GGATTAATCCTATTTGCTAGGTTGTTCTTTATCCCTTTCAAGGTACATCGGCCAAAGCATTTTAAGGAATGCTTTGAAATGCCGTAAGCTTAAGGTGACTCACTTAACAGATTAGAAAAAGAAAACAGATACGGCCGTGTGTGATTGGGGCCTCAGTTTGCCTTGAGAACCGCGTTTTATGTGGTGGGAAATTTTAACAGCTTTCAACGCCGGTATAATTTACATTCTCGGGTAAACAAGGTGAATTTGAATGAAGCTTTACCACACACGAGAAACCCTAGACAGGACAAGGATTATTAGAGAAGTACCTTTAGTAATTTTCCAACCTTAATCTTCGCCTTCGCGGTAGAAACTGCATGTAAGTGTCTGTTTTTGTTTGATAATCGAGCAGAGAAAGCACTCAGAGATAATCAGTTGGCATCAAAGCTAAAATTCGTGAGGTGTTAATTTGCCAAAGCTTTCAAAAAACTACTGTGACGTCGATTTAGTAGAGTTTATGAAGACAGCAAGTTCAAGTATAGGATAGAATATGACTTTCTTTCTCTTAGTCCATTCACATCAGTTTTTTTTTTTTTTTAAGGCTGATAGTTTCTAAAGAAACTGTTTGGGGCTGCGTCGGTGGGGGTAACGAAATAATTTGAAAATATCAACAAAGTTGAAATGGTAAATTGGCCACAGTTACGATTATAAAAGCTGACGTTTGGAGCGTTAGCCCTTCATCGTTAACAGACACAAATAGTAGCAGAAACTGGACAATCACTCGGTACATTGAATATCGAGGCCTGGTCTCATGAGGCATAACACCAGACGTCTTGAAATTCTGAAAGATTTTTAAGTGTTGGCACGCACGGTGTCTAATGCCTTGAGGATGAATTCGTATAATTTTTGAAATTATTTCTTTTTTACCAAGACTGATAAAAAATTCCAATTAATTTAACTCGCAGGGCGTTTACGCAAATAGCCTTTTTCACTGTTTAAACTCTGACATGCTGAACAGATTTTTCTAATACTGTATACGTCGCGGTATCAGAAACTAGATCTATGAGGAAAAGACTGCGTCACTCCGTAGTAGTACACAGTACGCATAGGCTCTTGGAAAAGGTTAGCGAAGGGAACTACGCAGCGTGTCGAGTCCCATACACAAGATCAGGTCGGATCGCGGATCGATAGGTCTTGACAGCGGGGACCGAGAGGTTTAAAAGAGCAATCAACATGGCGGTCTCGTTCGCGTGTCTAAAAGCGATGCAGCGCGCTAAGATTCAAAAAGCCTCACGGAAGGTCACCTCGCGGGATAAAAGTGATGATTGAAGAGGTAGTTAGAATGATCTAATAAGTGAATCCTTTCCTCTCATAGGAGTGACTAACTGGCAAATTCTTCTCAGTGTCTAAATACAACATCTTGCAAACACGTGATGAGATTTGGTAGACTTAGCTCCTGAAGAACGCTACCACGATCAAACACCGAATTCTCTTACCTCACTTAAGAGAGGCAGTATGTCCGTGAGATGGGAGAATCACTTATCGAATCTTTATAGGATCCAAAGCGTGCCTTGATCCACTAACTTTTTCAGACTCTCATGAATTACAATTTGGATTTCTCCCAACAACAGAAATCGAACATTTTACTTCTCATTATCAATCCTAGACAATTTAAGTTGGGCAGCCAAAAAGATGGAAAAAAAAAAAAAAAAAAGAGTTGCACAAGTTCTCAATTCTTTGAACAGAAATGCGTGTCAAATATGAAATATCTTAATCCAGGATTTAATTTATCATTATATGATCTCTTTGACAATATTTTTATGAGCTGCGCTGCTCCGTGCTTTTCTTGATTACTTTTCATGGTAATTTACTCAGCACCTCTACACCCCCGGTGTGTGGCAATCGAGAACTTCGAAAGGCAACGTTAGGCATTACATTGAAAAATTGTTAAAAAATCTGGCGGAATAAGTAGGGAGCAACTGTATATTGGATTTCTGACAAGCTCAATCAAACTTTATTTTGAAAACACCAATACAGTTTTGAAACAAATTTACAAAATTAATATTTCAGAAGCGCCGTCAGCATTACATACACATAAGTGTGTTTTGTCAATTGACGGCAAAAACGGATGGCCAGTTCAGGATTCTGTCACGAAAAATGGCCAACATCAATATTGGAGTCTTCTAATCAAATTATTCTAAAATGATTAAAAACGCTGGCAAATCCAAGTAGCATCAAGAGGTCGCATAGAAAGCAAACACTGCCAGAAAACACGCTGTCGTCTAAAAATACTTGAATTAGTTTATTTGTATACAATCCAGTCTGTGGTTAAAACCCAAAATAGCACATTACGTACTAGGTTTAATCACTCTATACTTAGGTCACGACTTAGCTCATGTAGTGACGCTTTATCCAAGTGTAATCTACTGTCAGGACAAGGAGTGACTTCGTCTTACCTTTAACCTCGCTTTGACCACATTTGGAACATGGAACAAGTTTCTTGTAATCCTTTGGCACCATCTGTTAAGTTCCTCAGCAAATAGAATAGACTTTACTTTCCAACTGATAGTCAAAATATTAACTATGGTGGCTAAAGCGACCTGTGGTAAAACTGTTAAATCTAAAAGGCTATATCTCACTCCTTGCTTTGCTTCCAAAACTTTTGCTGAGGTCAGCGTTAACGATTTGGAAAATTTCTTTTGTGAGAAACCCAAAACAAGAGGAAGAATTTGGTGGTGCTTAGCACCACTTCCCGACCGGATGACATCTCTGTTGACGAACTCAAATATATAATAAATTAATAATTTTTTTTAATAATTGGGTCTCCACCAAGCCGACGCGATGTTTTGAATTCCTTAAACGCCTTAGCCACAAATAGAACTGGACACCACCATGCTATGCTTTCATCGTTCACCTTAGAGATCCCAAGAAATGAGATGGCGCGACGCCTTTAAGTAGAAACAAAAGCAAAATGTAAAGTTCTACACACGTGAAGCACGCTTCAGTTAATACAGCATGTATAGGGGCCCTATTTTCAACGTGTTTACAAAAACAGCCAGCGTTGACCTTGAGGGCTTACGGCACTAAAAGCCATGGGGGCAAGACCAATAATCTCGTTTAAGGAGGAAATACTTTGCTGAAATCTTCTTTTCTCGTCTCCGGTTTGGGTGGAGTTCCAACTCTTGCTGATATAGATACCCCGGCACTTGTTTAAGAGGGACAGGTGTTTGATTAAGCTCCGCCGCCGATTTAATTGATTTTCAAACGGTAATGGTCGGCATTTATTGTTTGCTGAACAATAGGTCATTTAATTTTTTTTTTTATCCCTACGCCAGGGTAGTAACGCAAAGATTGTTGTAGAATGTCTTGAAAGGAAACCACTAAGTTATTATAAGTGGATTTAGTAGCTAACCTACTCGCTTCCTAAATTTTTATTCCATTACTTTTAAGTGTTTATTCCAGAAACATGACAGTATTGTGCGTTCCATGACTGCAGCCTAGACTTCACTACCAGGAATCATCGCTTTTTCAATAACGAAGTAATATCAAATGAGGAATACAAACTTATAGGAGGTTAAGTAACACCATCATTGTACCCCATTCTACGTTCCTCGCGCATAATTATTGCTTCAACATACATTTGGCGCACGAATGACACAGCGAAAGATGTATTTTGTTTTTGCCTCCTAAATGCTTTACGGGGTCATTTTACAGGAAATACAACCACTAAATTTTAAGACCTACTTGAAAAAATTCTACGTCAAAATGCGGTAGTCTAGTCTACGGGATTGTGGGCGTCGTTGTGGTTGTCAACCAATCAGGTTCAAACCTCTACACAATTGAACTGTATCATTCATATGCAATAGACGTGAAGCGATTACTCGATCAATTCAGTCAGTTTGTAAATAGCAGAGTGTATATGAAAGTTAGCCGATTGCCAGAGTGGAATCGAACAAGGAATTATTTGTAGTTTCATTTTAGAGGAGAAAAACTAACACATTGAAGTGCATTATAACTGTAGCAGCGCTTGCATTCAGGACAGCAAAACTAGGTGAGGATTTAATCGAATAACGATTCTCAATTCTCTTTCTTGTGTATATACACCTCTCTCAGTAGAAACCCATGCATAGAATGTGCACGTGATTCCAGAAATGTGCGCATAATTCCAGAGATATCTTAAACTATGCCTCTTTGATTATAGGATTCACTGCGGTGTACTATAAGTTCAAGACCATCACGTCTTTGTAATTGACCTCAAACTACAACGGCGCAACGGATACTGCAATTACAGTTTATTTAAATCTGCGGTCATGTCATTTATTCACGTCCCTTGTGGGCCATGAAGTTATTTCACTGACGATTCAGTGTTTCGTTACAGGTTTTGTACCAATGCTATCGCTTTCTTTGCTACTAAGTTATTTTGCATTAATTCTTGTCCATCAGATGTTGTTCAGTCCATGAAATATTGACATTTAGGAAAAATCACTAACCCAGTCATCAGGGTAACACCAACTTTCTCACGTCTATTTTTTAAGCGACAGTCATATCGCTGAGTCTAGTCTAAATTATATTGCTAAGGCAACGACGGCTAAAAATATCCATTTTTATAATAAAACATACCAATTTCAACAACGAAGGAGAGTACCTATTATGTTTTGAGACATTTAAGGCTGCGTAAAAATAAAAGAATATTCGGAAGAATACTAAATCAAGCGTCTCGGCCGTATAAAAGTCTCTCGACCTTAAGTTTTTCAGAATTAAATATGGTTTCCTTTACGAGATTGAGGTGCGTGAAGAAAATACGTTTTGAAAAAGGGATTTAGTTATAAATGGATGCCACAGGGACTGTAAACTTTGGTTGTTCGAAATCAAAACCAAGCCTTTGTCATGCATAGCGTTGTTTGCTTTGAGTCATTGTTTGGCCTTCTTTTGAGCTAAATTATATATTTTTCGTGCATATGAAACACTTATTTACTGGATTTTTATTGTTTCCTGTCTATTGTTTCGTCCTTTTCCCGTAGCACGAGGCTCAGTTAAGAAGGCCAAAAAGAATAGAACTGAGGTTTAGAGTAGGACAAAAAGTGAGTATTCCATACAATCGACGTAGATGCGTTTCAGATATAAGAATCGGGATTAACAGCGATTACTGAATTGTCTTGGAAAAAAATGCATTCCTCAGGCCATTGAAGTAAGTAAATATCAAGGAGTCTTGAAGGCCATTCAATGGTTTGATTGACTGTAGCAAGCATACCTGTAGATTATTTGATTGACGGACAATTGACTGTGATGGTTCTCACATAAAACTTGTGAGAGTTTTAACAACTGAACGGCTTATCGAGTTAATACGTCATCCGATTTTGACAAAATCACTTCCCATAAATCATTCAATCAAGGAAATTCTTTCATGCGTAATTCAGCATCAATGTTGTTGTTGATATTTCTGTTGTTTTCAATTTGTTCAATTTAGTTTTTTGTGTTCAGTTGGTCAGACGAAAAATAATAGTTATTGCAATGAAAGCGCTCGCGAATGATTTATCCAACTTGAGCAATACCGTTCAGGATCGAAAATTTTCTATACCACGTTTTTTAGAACCGGTTTCCTGCGGCTGCTCTGTAAACTTAGTCCATTTGGATCGCTTGAAATAGCATACAACGTTCTGGGGCGTGTTCCAACCTTTCAACACCCTACACTCAATTCAATGGCGGAAAATTGGCGCGCATTCAGACTTCGCGCTCCTTTGCCATTGCAGCTTTATGAGTGATAGTTGGGGGAGGGGGGGTGGAGGAATTGTACTTAAGCGATCTTGGAAACAGGAAATGGCTTAGATAGAAGCTCCTCTTCAGTTCATATATTGGCTGAATCGAATCCAGTGGACCCGTTGCATTTGTAGTTACTTAATTAAGCTTTTACTCTCATATTTCTGAGGATCAGACCCAGAAAGATCCAGTACCTTCGCTTCAGTTGTCCTTTGGCTATCGCAGCTATTATAACTCATCAGATTAGCATCAACGTTTAACCAGAGGTTTCATCAGCGAGGCTTGTTTGTTTTCTTAGACCACACGTTTAATGTAAGATGATAAGAAGATTGTCAGAGTTGTTATGTTAGGACGAATTTAGGACGGAAGGCTCACACTGTGATCAGTACAGCTGATTTATATTAACAGCCAAGTTGTTTTTAGAGATTATGCAGTCAGTATAGTTCATATAAAGACTCATGCCCGCTCTGGTAAGAATAATAAGCTGATAGTACTATCTCTGTACTATCTACACATCAGCCAGCAGTTTGTTATCGTGGCAAAAGACCTTTCATTGGCAAAAGACCTTTGTCGGCTCTATCTAATCAGTCTGTATGGCAAGCTAAGTTTTGAGTGAAAGGGGTAAGTTTCTAAAAAAAAACTGTGGTGCTGCGTCGGTGGAGGGCATTACGAGAAAAGTTGGTTTTATCAACTGAGTTGATAATGTTAAATGGCCACCTTCGAGAATTTCTAAAGCTTACTTTCAGAGCGTTTGGCCTACGCTATACGCTCAGACGAAGGGCTAACGTCAGTCTTACAAATTCTTTACGGTGGCAAAAATACACTATCAAATCAGTTGATTGTTCTAAATGCATCACGCTTTAAACGGGGTTCACCTTTCGTTAGTTCGCCAGTTTCTCAGTTAAAATAGTAATGTGGGTCATTTTGTACGATATAACTCCAAAAGCCTCCGCCAACCGCCTCCCGGTTAGCTCAATGGATAGAACGCTGGACTGATGTGCGGGAGGTCGTGGGTTCGAGCCCCGGCCGGACCAACACTCAAAGTCTCAAAATAATTGAGAAGAATATGCTGCCTTTCTATAACATCAAGAAATGGTTTAGATATTCTAGTCTTCTCGGATAGGGACGAATAAATGGAGGTCCCGTCTCCTGCAGGGTTAGGGGTAGGAGACGTTAATTTCCCACGCACGAGATTACTGTGTGATGGATGTCCTCCCCTGGGGTGGGATGGGTGGGTTGTTGTCTTGCGTTTCATACATGAGCCTCTGGCTCGGGCAATATGGGTAACCATGCCCCACGTAAAGACATTAAACTTTGATTACTATTACTATTACTATTACTATTACTATTACTATTACTATTACTATTACTATTACTATTACTATTACTATTACTATTACTATTACTATTACTATTTAAAACTTTGATTGATGATTTGATTGAAGTAAACTTATCTAAGAGTAAGAGACTGAAGGCTACATGATTTCGATGGAAGCCTTTCGGGTTTTGTTAAATCAATTCCACATAGATGTAAGTTGTTAGACGACCTCAGTGGTATCAATATCACATTGAACTAAGCCTTTCCACAGTTCCAGCTTTAACAGGAAACGTAAACACCGATTAAAAATGCTTGGATAAATTAAGGACGTACATGGCCTGACATTATAGGTCATTCGAGTGACATTATGTGACGTAACAACTCCTAGTGAGTTGGAATCTCTCTTTAATACCTCGTCTATTCTGGCAGTTACTCAAGCAAGTAGTTAAGCACGTACTTGTTCATGGCGTGTCCTAAGCCAACAGAATTTCTACGGCTCAAGGGTCTGATACCCTTTGTGTGAGGAGAGTGCTACGTAAGGTTCAATGAGGGTCCGAGAACGTCCGTTTGATAATGTTGTTTGGGTTCATTCTTGCACGAAACTACAATTACGCATAACTGAATACCAAACTATGGAATAAATTGGATAGAACAATTTGGCAAAGAATTTGAAACCTAGAGTGTTCTGTTAAGTAACCACAGAGAGCAGCAACAGGATTGAACTCGCGCGTGATTAAAGAGAATAGGTATTTTTGAAGCCGGTATATTATTTACAGGATACGAGAATATACGCCCGCCATCATACTGCTGTCCTAAGCTAAGAAGTCATAAATTTCGATCAGAACCGGAACTACATAACCAAAATAACAATACTTAACGCCTTTCTAAAAAGTTTTGCATCATTCGCTGATAAACAACAAGTATTGATGAAAACAGTGAGCTAAGGAGATTCGAAACTCACAACTCTGCGTGAAACAGGTTAGGAAAAGTTTCAATGTAACTCGCATGTCTTTTCCCCATAACGTTAGTTGAAACTTGCGATTTCGTAAAACCTCTTACTTTCTCGCTTTCCTTGTTGTCTTCGTTATTCAATTTCGTTTTCAATATTTATGGAAGAAGAACGCTTGTTGCGTAGATAGAAAATTTGCGAGCATTCAGTCCATGCGTAGTTTCACTCAACAGTTTACAATAGAGGAAAGAAATGCTCTTCCTTCCTCTAACAAGCTTAATGCATTCTTGTTTACCACTAATGGCTTGGAGCTAGTACAACTCTTTTAAACAATCATCATTGCCAAATCATGGGCTAATCTTCTTTTAAGGCAGAAGACATGAAAAACAGTCACTCGATATTAATCTTAATAACCAAATATTACAATGGAGTTCTCAAGATTATTAATTATTAACATTATAAAACATGTGAAAACCCAAACTGTAATGTTTGCAACAGATTTGAGACAGGGGGTCGCGGGAAATCGTGTGAGGTTCAAAGCTGAAGGACTTTGGTCTGTTTTTACAACCATATGTTAGAAAATGGTTCAAAATGTATTTTGACGGCAACTCGGAAATAGCTACACAATGTTCACGTGCTCGAACTCGACGAGGTGTAGTATATATGTAATGTTTATCATTTAAGCCTTTGTCGACGATGAACCGCTATACGGATCCGAACAAACAATTTGATATTGCTCAATCCTAACTAAAACTGACAAGGCTAAATCACCTTTTATCTAAATCCAATATTCTGTTTTCGTCTTTTGCAGGTAATTCGTAGACGTTCTTCCTCTCGAACAGAGTAAACTGAATAGGAGGTAATGCTATTTTTTACTAAGTATATCTAAGTAGGTAATAGGCGTACAGTTGAGAATGACTTAGCACTGACAAGATTACGTGCAGGAGGGCTTCCTAACCCCATGGTTGTTACAGAAGTGGAATGATAAAGATCTAGACTCCCTAGACTGCACTTACAGACATAAATAAGAAAAAAAAAACACTGAGTGTCTACTATCATCTCAAAGAATTAACAGGCAGGCGTGGTCAATACTGGCTCAGCGCATGCGTGTTCCTCTATCATATGTCTTCACGTGCCAAAAGTTACCCTAAAACCTTAAAGAGGTTCACAAGTGTTTTGTTTTTCTCATATAAAAGAGATTTTTAGGTATCACCGCAACATACTGCTTAGGACTGAATTTAGCTGTAGGGTCGAGTCTCCGATAACATGTTACAAAAGCGAGGATTGTTTTAATATTGCAAGTACTTCAATTACCTATGCCTGCGTGAAAAACAAGAACAGTTAAACAGTGCACGTGCGGCACATGGCGGGCGAACAGGTTGCACGCGAAGAATCCCCGTAGCGACAGGTCACGCCCATTTAAAAACTTTCATTCTCTGATATCAAGCTACAGAGGAATTATCTTCTAACACTTGGTCTAAAATTTTGTTTGCAAAAGCGAGATCATAATATTTCAAGCACTGACATAGCCTCCTAATCATCTCCAGATAGCTTAGGAAACGAACAAGATAGTTTAAAAAAAGAAGAAAAAAATCTCACTTGAGTTCAGGTGATTCGAGGTAAACTAATATCATGGGATCGCCCGCCGGAACCACCCATGCAATGTCGCCTGCCTATCAGATTTCGGTCGCGTTCACTCCCCTGAGCTGATCTAAACACCAATTCTCTTTTCTAAAAGCCCCACAGTTCTTGATTGTAACTTCGGAGAGTTAAGTGCTACATCAGAACAGTACCTGCTGCGATGATCACGCTTGTTCTTCTCACAACTTTTCATCGAGACACTGAACATATACTCGAAGGAGAATTCGAAGTTAGCTACTGAACAAAAGCTTTTTGGAGTCAAGTGGCGGAGACCCGTCTTCAAATGTGACACTCATATGACTAATAAAATTTTGTACTGTATCTTATCGAACAAGCTTTTGCAGAATAGTTCTTTCATCATGGCTTCCTAGAGGTTTATCTTGACGCTTTCTAACTTTTAAACTATGACCTTGCCGAAAAACAGGATGACATCAAAATGTAAGTTTTAAAGATCGGTGTTTGAAGATCTTAACTATAGAGATCAATTTCGGTAGCTCGAAAACCTTGCTA